TGCGGTGTTTAAAAAAATCGAGTCGATCCGATAAAATGTACTTTACTTTCCCCTATTTCAGTCATTGCAATAGATAAATGCAGCTTATCGATATCGAATCCTCGAAAAGCGATCCATCGCCGAAAGACGATATCGCCAGTCACATGCGCGAGACGATCCAATTGCATACGAAGTTATTAGCTTACCGCCGCCCCAATTAAAAAAAAAAGGCTTTTTATGCGTTCGAACTCATTTTCATGGGCTCGGCGAGGTGAGAAGCGGAATTCTTCTCTCGTTTCCCGCCGGAACAACCGGCAGCAATTTAACTAGCGATTACCTCTTCTCGAGGAGGACTCATAATTTCTTCGCAGAACTCGCATCCCAAACCAAAATATAGTGTTTTACCTCGAGAGCTCCCTCAGCGATCGGTCCTTCTAAACGAGAAGGACCGGAGAAGGACCGGAGAAGGACCGGCCGATCGCGGGAGCCCGCCGCCTGCGCTCCGACCGGTCAGACGGCGACGCGGAGAGTGGCGCTCCCGCAGTGGATGTCGGAGGAGGTCGCTTCGACGCGTCAGTGTCTCGTCTGCTTTCTCTTCTGCTGGTTCCGTTCCGGCTGGTTTCTCCCTGCCTTTTCCACCTTTTTGCCTCGAGGAAAAAATCCCAGGGGATTCTCCTAACCGAACGCGAGAGAATGGAAACTGCTGCAATGGGAAAGTCGAGGTCGTCGACGAGACGATGCATTTCGGCGAAACGGATCCCAATCGAACTTTGCAACCGGCGTTGCAAGCGGTTGCAAGCGGTCGCAAGGCTTCCGACTCAAATCGGCGACAACACAATTTGAGCGGGAAAACAGGCCTGCCTGGGCTCGCAACCCGTTCTGGCACTGTTTTCTTCCCCAACAGGTGTTATTAGTTTTCCAAGTCAAATTCGGTCGGGCCCGCGTCACACGCTGGATGGAAATTCAAATTCCTCCTGTCCTTTCCGGAAAGTGAAATGCATAAAGAGGAAAAGCAAGACGCAACAGCTCGGCATCTGTTCACCATGCAAACCCTTTTTCCATGTTGACCTTTACAGAAGGCCGACTCGAGCGGGAAGGACAACTCACGTGACCAGAGACCGCGAAGAACTCGCCCGCGCCTTGCTCCTCTCTTTGCCTCACGCAATCCCACAAAGCCACGACGAAAACGTCCGAACACGTTGCATGCATTCCGATTTCTCTCAAAAGAAATTCCAACCTCCTTGCAATCTCGATGGAACAAAAGCCAAACAAGCTGCTTCCGGCCTAGGCGGATACCCCCGTCGTAGCACAAAAATCGCGTTATGCAACGGCGACTACGATGCCACTAGGACGAGAGCAACAAATATCTTTAAAAAATGAAGCAATCGTTGTGCAGAGTGACTGGGAATAGTCAGGCATTTCTTATCCTTCTGATTGCTAAGAATTCCTTGCTACGATGACGGAAAACAACGAAACGTCGGAAAGCTCATTTCAACTGCCTCGAATCAGTTCGCATGACGCGACGACTCGATGCAGTCTCTGTTGGGTGACGGACGAAACGTGGGTGGGGCATGGGTGGGGCATGGGGGAGATATGGGTGGAGCAGGGACACTTTACCTACTTTTGCACATGGATTTTCGGTAGAGTGGTTTCACGCCAAGGGTTCTTCCAAAATAAACGTTACTTCACATGCGATTCGTTTTGCCCCTATGGAATCTGCTGAAAACTCATGAGACAAACGGCAGGAATGGGATGAGCTGTTGCACGCATTGGCAGCTGTTACTGGTCTGAATTCTTTTTTACTCGGATCTTTCAAAAATGAAGCGATCCATTTTTTTTATAATGATTTTTTGTTATCATATTAAATTAAAAAAAAAAACCTATACCGAGCCCTTTTGGAATCCCCATTTGTGCATCATTCTGCAGGTTGACGACACCGGGGGATCTACTCGCTGAAGGAAACGGAAATATAGGCTTCAGCATCAGAGCTTTCATTTCCTCGGTTTCAACCGATTTCAACGGAAAATCTCGATGGGCTTTCCGAACTCGAGCGCGTGTATTTTCCCCAACGAGTCGGTCCGCATACGATGGTTTCCTCATGCACGATTACGAATGGAATGGAACCAGGATGATAAAATGTCGGAAACGACTGGAACGCCGCGAGCGCCACATCCAAGAAACGCCTCGTCTGCTTCATCCAGCCTCGCTGTCACTTCCGGATGATTTGAACCCTTTAAAAACGCGGAGCGTGCGTCCCTCGACGAATGCATCGCAGTGCTTCGACGCGAATCCCGCGTCAATTCTTCCCTCGTGCATCATCCCGCTTCTCTTCTCGATTCCTTCTCCCAACCTTGGCCGACTATGACCGGAATGCCGGCTGAATCGATCATTATTTTCACCCTGATTACTTTCCTTAAACCCGTGTTGCTCTGGAAAATGTCGATTTTGTGTGCTCCGACTAATGAGTGCAATAAAAATTCATTTCTCCATTTCCTCCATCGACCTTTTCTCCTCTCGACATTTTTTTTCATTCGACATTCCGAAGCGCACCGCCGAATATTGCCAACTTCCTCTGTTTTTAAACTTTCAGATCGATGAGAGCAATCACTCGAAGAGAAATTAGTGGCAGAATGAAAGTTGGAAAGTAGAAGAGGCGCCGATATGCCTCAGAAAACGACGATCTCATCGCTCTGGTGGCACGAAAAATTCACCCGAACTGAATCGAATCGAAAGCTGATTTCAAAACGGCAGTTCCATTCTACGTAGTTTCAGTTCTGACTTTGGTCTGGGAGTTCCATTGTGCTCTTATCGACTCCTTTCGCGACGAAATCCCAACTGGGACTGGAACCGAACCGAAACCGGCCGGAAGAAAACCTGAAAACGGCCTCACGCCCCGAGTTCATGGTCACGTCTTACCCGCGTTTAATGGATAGGCCCGATTAGCCACGACAGGACCGTTGAGCCACGACAGGATCGTTGATGAGCATGAACAGTTCCGTTACGTCTGCCCCTTCGCCCCTTAGAGAACCGAGCATAAATCGTTAGAACGACTCGAAGAAACGCCACCTTAGAAATAGCAGTCGGGGAATCTTCATCCCCGAGAGGGATGGAGGCAAAAGGAGGTCGACACCGAGAGACGCTGCCTGTTAAACGCCTATTCGATGTTACCACAATCGGCCCAAGCAAAACGTAGAGCATTTGCGAGTGCCCCGACCGGGAATACGAACGCCGAAGGACGCCGAAGGACGCCGAAGGACGCCGAAGGACGCTGAAGGGACAGTCGCGAGCACATCTGCAACGACCCAAGGCTAGCTTCTTCTGCATTCGGTCCCCTCAAAAAACGTAAAGATACGATTGCCAAGAAACCTCTCCTCGTTGCTCACGGCTTGGGTACCGACTCGATCACTCCTGGACGGATATAGTAACAGGCGAATGCTTGCGTCGATTGGAAACGAAAATTCGGTACAGCGTCGTGCTGCATTTGCCTTTTTTTATTATCAGACCATCCTGCGGGGGGAGTTATGTCACCTGTTCCTCTGAACTGCCTTAGGATTATGGTATATAATTACAGGCGTAAGCAGGAAGGGATAATCTTACATATGAGAGATTTTATAACCAATTTTTTCATTAATCGGATTTTTCGATGCGTTCAGTCCGACAGCATCCGGTCCCCAGGAGCAATTGTAATAACCGAGATCGATCCGATCCGGCCCAGTTCCGACTCCGACGCAAACCCGGTCGTTAGCCCGACCGAGATGATCGGATCCGATCTAAATCCGAATCTATGCCTCAGATTTATGGATCGGACTCGATGGACACCATAAACCGCAAGTTAGCGAATGGCTTCTCTTAACGTGAACTTGGCGCATCGAATTTCAAGGTCCAAACTCAGTAGGAGATGACAAAAATCTTTCGACTGCCTTTGTATTTCCTCTGCTTCCAAGTTTCCAGATGCACTCACAAATCGGACAGAAAGCAGCAATATTGGATTTATTCGCTGCAGGGTATATCGAAGAAAGGGCAATGACTTTTTCCCTCTGTATCTCAACTTCCACTAAAGAAATTTTCACGAGACTGCACTTACATAAATATGTTTCAATATATCTTTGGAAGTTTCATTCAAATCCATTTTCCCGAGGCAAGGCCATGTACATTTATTGAAAGTTTAGTTGGATATTGGAGTGGAAACGCCCAAGCATTCCACTTACAGGTTGCATCCAACTTCTTTTCCATTAAAATTCTTTCTTTGGCCTTTTCTTTAGAGTTTTCGCGAATTCGGATTTTCGCGTCAGAGAATCGCCACTTCGGAAGGGACAAATACCCCAAAGCCCATTTTCGATTTCTTTCGGGTAATTACTCATGCGGCTCTGGAGTTCGAGATAACCCAGCTTCATCGGGACAACACGTGATTTCGCGAGAAAGATCCTTTACCAAAGATCCGGTTGCTTTCTGCGCCGCAATTTGACAAGCGGGAAAATGTCAGAGTTCACCTACGCACCATTAAAATCTCTAGCAATTTTCATGCAACTTAGTGCTAAAGAGCCACCTTACTTGAATTCAGAGCTAAAGCCCAAGACGGAGACCATAAAATGCCGATCGGCCGACCTTGAAGTCATTTTAGTCAGGGATGCGATGACGATTGATAACGAGGGGGAACAGAGAGTGTTTTTCTCAATCTTCACGAACGCACTGACCTTTGATCCATTGTTTTGTGTTCTTTCTGGTCTGAAGGTGTATTTGGGTGATGAGAATGTACATAAATTTATGCTTGATCATGAGGGTGTGGTCAGGCGGGGAGAGGTTCATATTTTTACACCCCATCCCCTTCAATGACGGAGGCGAGCGTCATTCAAAATATATGGCATTTGCGCCAAAGCAATTCGTGAACGTTTCCAAGGAATCAGATTTGATTTCGTATATCTGAAAGTGAATAAAATGATAAAATACATCAAACTTGCATTGTAAACTCTGATAGAAACAGCGCAATTCCGAAAGTAAAAACGAACCCAAGCAATCACCGATTAAAACGGGAGTTCATAATCTTTATTGAACTGCTCTATAGCCCGAACCTACAGATCTCATACAGCATTCAGATGCTAAAGCGAGCAGCACTAGCCGAAGAAGGCAGGGAGGGCGCTGCGAGCGCCGAGATCATCCAAAGGGCCGCATGGGCAGCCGCTTCACTTGCTTCTGGACGGTCTGGAAGAGATAGGCTTCCGGATTCCTGAAAGATGCAATCACTCGATCATCGGCAGCACGGCAGGCAAGTCGCAAATATTCGGATCTCTTCGCGAAGCAATTTCGTGCCGAGTTCCCAAGTTATCTCACGAAAACGTCCAGAATTAATCCATACGTTCTAGAAGCAAACATCCGACTGGAAAAAATAAGTGAAAACTCGACCAGCCATCACTCGACCAACTTTAGTGTGATATTCATGCAAATTCCCTTCCTTCCTTGCGTGACAGCTTTACATAGCTTTACCGAGAATTCTGGCTATCAAAGAGAGAACGAATTCATGACATGAACTCATTTCGGGTTCGAGTCCGGGAATCAACGGCACTCGACTCGACTCTAACCCTCAACAAGGCGCATTTCAACGAGAAAATCACTTACGCATTCCTGGTGACTCTTGTGTTGACAGCCACCTGGTAGAGAGGTTCCTTCCCCTCGAAAGACCTCAACAGACCATCAAAGATCGGATCGTGTTTCGGGAACGGCTTCGCCTGGACGCTCATCACCACCGCCGAAAGAATCTGTGGGTGCAGGCACGACATCGCCTTTAATCTCCTTAATGTAATCCTTTAATCCTTCCCAGAGAAACCGATGGGAGCAGAACCTCTGGCGTTTCGACGGTGGGTCGTACTCTTTCAATAAGTCGACCGTGTTCAATCGGACGGCTCTAAAGTGTTAATTCTTGTCGATAAACGAGGCTAATACATGCGCACGTGGGAATAAATTATCTCTTCCGGCCAGATGACCCTGAAAGATGCCTAAAGAATAAGACGCTCGTGGTGTTGGAATGCCATTCGAATCGACGACCACGAACTCGATTTGACTTGCAAAGTGCAAGTCTCCGGGAACCTCATCCATGTGGAAATTTTAGCCCTGTCACAGAATAACATCTTTCTATGAAATGCTCGCGAAGTAACGTAAGTACAGTCACGTGGCATCACACGAACAAATCTCATTCGAGCGGCCACCTCACGATCTGCCCAATTCTGTCTTCGCTCGATCCAGGATCAAACGGACGAGGAAAGCGAAGCAAACACACCTTCGGTATGTTTCTCGGAATACCGCAGGAACAATAATAATCACATCGAGGCATTCACTAGAGTCTACCATTCATCTGGGTAGCAAATTAAGTAAGAAGTTACGGTAGACTGGAATTGGACCACCGCTGCTACCCGAGACTAAGCCTTCTGCGAGAACTGCGAACTGTACGAATGGCAGATGTCCAATTCAACACGTTGACTGCCCGTGTCCAGTTAACTATTCATCAATGGCAGCAGATCCAATAGCATATCGGTTGGCACGGGCAGTCAATGTATTAACCCCATGATACGCCGTCCTGCTCGGCGTGCAGAGCCTGGGCATTCTTCCCGATCGCTCAAGAATCGAGACAGGCAATTTCTGGCCTGAACTTAACCGAGGCAAATTTAATTCCATGATACGTCTGTATCTCAACTCCCCGTAAAAAAAAATGTCACCGGTGATTAGACGGGGTTTCAACATGTTGAAATTGAAACTGCAAATCAATGGTGATTCACCGTTGACATTTTTTACGCGAAGAAAGTCCCACCTCGAAGACATAGTTATGCGACCAGACACGAAAAGACACACGGAAATCCCTTTCTTAAGACTATTCCCCAATCGAATTAGAAAATGAACTGGAACCAACCACCGAAAAGACGACGAGACCGAAGAACTTCATCCCGAAGAGAGACAAGAGTTGACCCGTTGAATACTTCTTGCCGACTGCTGGATTCGGCCGGGCGAGAAGGGTTTTTCAATGCGAAATGGATTCCACTCAGAAGATCCTGATTTAGATATGCATTGGAATTCCAAATCCCCCATTTACATCTGCATGTCGTCCCTCAAAAATACGACGATACCGTCTGACCAGATCAAAATGGATTCATGACGGAATTCAGGTGGAACACTGCACTCGATTTCTTCCGAAGTCCGGAATGCAAAAAGGCAGCCACACTTATGGTTGCCTCATCGCCGAGTCGAGCCGATGTCGATGCCTTCGATAGGAGTCGATTTTTTTCTCTGAATGACGTCTTTTCGGTTTCGTCCAATACGGGGCTGCGAAAATAGGCTTTGGATCTTCCTGGAGCATGTCCGAACTTTATCGCAGCAGATATAATGAAGCTTTTCAGGGAATGCCTTTCGATGATACCAGGACGATTCCTCGGATTGAATCGCATACGATCGTATGATTTGAAGCATTTGCTCGGAGACATGTCTGTCACGGGAGAAGGAATTTTTCTGTCCTAAAAAATTATAACTTGGTATATTCCGAATACCTGGAGTTATAAGTTTTATAATGCAAGGATTCTATTCTGCCTGAGCTGTTTGGAACTAACCTGCCTGTCTGTAGGATAATGTCATGCCAACTTATATCGATTGCAAAATCTTGTTCAAGCAAGTCAAGTGACCCAATTAGACCGATAGACCCAAGTCGAGCCTAATTATCCTTAAGAAACCTATGCCGAGTGATAGAGTCAATAAGGTTCATTCTGGATCACTTGGATCAGACTCTGCAATTACGATAACTTTGGCATTACATTCAGCTATCCGGGTATTATTCAATGATCCAATACGCTATGATCTCATGATTCTTAATTTATTGTGATTCTTAATCTATTATAAGTTGCGCATCCGGTGTGTCCTTGACTTGAAGACGCCGAGTCTTCGTCAAAGCCGATGAAGAAAACCTTCAAAATGGCCTTTACAGTTTTTAATAACAGCCGGTAAAAGTGACCGTCACCAGCCATTGTCGAGGAATCTTCGAAGATTCTACCACTTTTGGATCTTCGCTTGTGGATCCCAGAGATTCTATTAGATGGTGTTTCGGCAAAATATTCCTGGAGTGTTTTCCGAAATGCACGATCGCCATGGAGTAAATGAGGCTACTTCTGTTGTCGAATTTCTGGCTCCGAAATCTGGGGTGTTTCCTGGAAATTTGCATTTTCCGGCAACACGGTGCCGACTTACGTAGATCTCGAACTCTTTCTGCCTTCATGGCACGTTCTAGATTTGACAGAACCTGAAATTAGCCATTGAACAACTTCTTTGATTTGCATCTATTCGACAAAACAGTTCGGGGAAACAGTTTACAGAAAGTCAAACTTATGGACCGATGGAACCTGCAAGCGAAACGCCCAAGAGATCGATGTCATCTTCCGACAATTTTCATCAGGACTATACATCAGTAACATTCACATCCGGCAGCCCATCAATACATATCATCGGCCATTACGAGTCCAACAAGGCGAAGAAGCAAGAAGCAATCAATTCTCAAGCACTGAACGGAAAAGCAGGAGTCTCGCCAGGGGCACGACTCGCTATGTAGCATTGCGAGTTGTTGGTCCCCCCCCCCCATTTTCAGATTTCTATGGCAGGTAATTTTCATTACGTACTCTCATCACTCGTGTGATGAGTGATGCGAGCTGATCCAAAATACCTGAGAAGCGTGAGCAAATTTTGACTATTGCCGCTAAAAAGAGTGTGTGGTCCAATGCACAAAGATCCGCACATAACCTGAATCACCCGAGTGCTAAAGGTGAAGAGTCCTTCACCTTTCATATGCCATAAGAAAGACCAGAACGCTTAAGGCAAATGGAAACACTTTTCATTTGTGTTTTCTTGCGAATATGGCCCATTCGAAAAGGCTGAATATTTTACGATAGACATGGTGATCTCATGTGATTTCAATTTCCTCCTCGCAGAAACGATCTCGTCTCGTCTCTCCAACAATGTATGTATCTCCCTGTCTCTCGTCTGCAGTCATGTATACTCAAGCGGTGCTTTCTCTAACTTTTGACAAATCTGAATCGAAGGAAAATAAATACAAAAACAAAAAATGCGAACGGAGACAATATCTCCATCAAGAGAGAGTTTCCACAGCTCAAGTCCACCACGCAAACACCACAGCTGCAGAAGCCAATAACCGAATAAGACTCTTACCTGCACCGCCTGATGGCACCCGGTGCGGAGGACACGGCAATGCTGAGGATTCGATCAGCATGTGTTACTGTCCAGCAACTTTAGATTACCCGCGTCTTGAAGATTCGTGATCGATACGTTCGTTCTACATTCACATGCCACTCGATGAAAAAGGGAGATAGGTACATAGATCAGTCGATTCTCCGGGGATCAGAGATTGGATTGTAAAGCGATTCGTTCCTTAGCAATTCGGGCCTGCGTACAAACAAAAAAAAAAAACAACTCAGACACGGAAGAACGAACTGTTGCCAGTGGAAGAAGAAGGAAAATTCGTCGCGGCGAGATGGACGTGGCTAGTCGATGTTAAATACAGGAATTTTTAATTCCAAGAACGAAAAGAACCTAAAGGAAAGGAGTGGGCTTCGTTGAATATCTTCCTGAATCCTGAGTAGAGATATCTCCACATTTTGAATATCGGTTCTATTTTTCGTAAAAAGGAACAAAGAAAGCAGCGAGGCGAATGTTTTCAAGACAACCCACGTTCCATTTTCAAAAGAAAACAACATCGAAAACGATTTTCAAACTGATTTTTTTTTTAAATACTAAACTGAAATGAAAAAGTACATGCAAGGTTGAAAGGTTTAATTAAAGTTATTTCATTAACCCTTTCGCTGACGTGAAATCTGAAAAGATAATAGAACCGTGGGAGACCTAAGTTGCTCTTCGCGGCGAAAAGGGTTAAGCCAACTTCAAGGACTCGAAGGAAAGGCGTACCCGATGACACGCACTCAAAGGGCAAATACGCCTGTGCTAGGTCATGCCAGACCTAGCACAGTAGACAGACCTAGTAGGTCATGCCAGACGCAATACTCAACTGATAAAAAAAAAGGTATGACTGGGGTGAAAGTGATTAAAAATACCGATTCAGTACTTTCAGAAAATCGTGATCGAGAATGCAGAAATGTGCAATGACTGAATCATGCAATCGGAGCGTGAAACTCGATGGTATTATTCCATCAGCCACGTTACGTGCACACTCTGTCCCAAAAACGTTAGGAAAAATTCTCAGCTTGTAGTTATTCATAATTGATTCAGACTACCGCTGGACGTTTTTGAAGGCTGACTAATCGTCAAATGAGCACATACATGCAAAGTTATGAGAATATGCACTTGTTTAGAAATACAGGAAGTATTAACTTCGTGCGCCAAAATTCAATGTTGTGCCTCGTACAGGATGGCTGTCATGATGCGTATGTCCGAGAAGAAAAGTGCATTATTCCTGCTTGCTTCAGACTTGGAAGGAGCGCTCAAAGTGCCCATTGTGCCCATTGTGCAGAGGCACGTAACGTCGGGTGCGACCGGAAAGGTGCGACCGGTTGCGCCGGTCCGCCGCAACCTCGCCTTCAATAAGTTGCTACATCTCCGAAATGGATCGGTGGATTTTGATATAACTTTGCAAGCATATGCTCATTAGATGCATTAGTCAGCCCACAAAAGCGCATAGCGACAGTTTGAAGCAATCACGAGTACCTACGAATTGAAAAATGTTACAACATTTCTGGGACAGAACGTATGTTAACTTCGTCTTCAACCAAACCTCACTTAAACCCCATCCCAATCACAACTTTTTGTAAACCGCACCTGAACCATAAGACGCCAGGAGATACAGATCACACCATAGAAACGCCCCATGGCGAGGACTTGGCAGCTCTGACCTTTGCATTCGTAATGCCATCACGAGAACGGCTGGGCCGTCACTCGTCGCCATCGGAAACCTTGCATTCTCGGCTTGAATGGCTTCAAGGAGCGAATTACCCGCAGCCGGTTTCTCCACGTACTTCGAAGGCCATCGTTTGTTTCGATCTTCGGTGTCCGCCGTGCCAGTCTTCTCTCGGTGAAGAAGCTTCCAAACATTCATGATATCCATTAATATTCATTAGGGTTCATAGAGTTATGTGTACTTCTCGATTAAACGGTAAAGGGATTGCCTTTGACCGAGAGACTCGGCGCGGTAACCCTCGAATCGATCGTTTTTAAGCAATACCTCAATCTCGTACTTTCTGCCATTTAAAAGACTAGTATGGGATTTCAATCCCGGTAAGAGACTCCTGGCGAAGACGTAAACGTATGACTCACTGGTATCGATTCTCTCATCATCTAGTCACCATCAGATGATGATGAATGAGCGCTGAGCACCCCTCAGCCCAGGTTTGGCCGTCGCAAGTTCAATTCGAATTCCCCGACTCTGAACTCCCTTCAGCCTCGGTCTTCCCTCCCGGCTTCGCAGCGAAACTCCAAGAACCTCTACCAAGGCCAGGACCTCTACCAAGGACCAGAAACGCAAGACGCAAAAGCCTTCGCGCTCCTTCAGGCCTGGAACATCGAAAACGGCAAGCAGCGCCTCATCCAGGGGAATCGGGAGGCAGATGGATGTGGAGATGCATCAAGTACGAGGAAGAAAGGTTTTCCCTGGGGGAAAATACATGGAAACGGAGGTTGGAGAGAAAATTTTCTGCGCTGATGACTGCTGTAATGGGAACCCAGAATCGGATTATTATGCTCATGGTTCATTTATTGGCCACCGACCGGCAGATACGGACCTAATTCACTCCATAAAGACGGAAATATGGACAGTGAGAACCCCTCGCACCGGGATAACTGAATCTCAATAATCGATACGACTCGGCAAACGTGAACAATGGTCTCGTTCGCGGTTTGGCCTTTGGAGTTCTACTGGCTTCAGGGACTGAACCGAATCTGAAACGATAACTGAGCTGATGAAGCACCTCCGATCTCACTGCAGAAGAGAGTTCCTTGGACTCTAACTTGAAAAGTCCTCGAATCGTATCTGAAAGGAGAGCAACCAACGTGCAGGTATCTCCGCCGTAAAATCTGAAGAGCCGAGAAGGAAGGGATTGAGATGAAATAAAGAAAGAAGAAAGCCGGCCACACGATCGCGTAACCTCCGAAAAGCAAAATTCCCACGAGGTCTTCGTTCCACGAGCGACATCTTGTGAGAGGTATGGGCAGTGGCGGCTCGTGATATTTGGCTCTCGTGTTCCGTCTATGGAGAGGGAGTAGGCAATGCCTACCACTCTGCTCTGCCTCTTTCTATGGGAAAGTCTCGAACGATCGGAAGACGTAGTCTTCATACTTTTCATTTTAAGAATTCGAGACGAATCACAGCCGAGAGACAATTTTCTTCTTGTACGCTCCTACAGGCGCTAGTTTCACCGCAAGTTGTGTCGGCCTTTGCAAGAAGCCGCAAATGGCAGGCCGAGAACTTTTTCTCCAAAGCTGTACGTTGTTCAAAACGATCATTCTCCTCATTAGTTCTGACATACTCGAGAATGTTTCGGTGCGAAATCTTCAGTTCTTTCAACTAACATGCTACTGAGCTGCCCGAAAATGGGAAGATAATCGCTTCCTCGTCAAACAGCTGCGATTGAATTTCCTAGGAAATAAGCTGGGGTCTGAGCCCGACATGCCAACACAGTCTATTCAATTTAGAAAATGCTGATTTCGATTGACCTCCAACGCAAACGGGAAAATATACACGGCCACCGTTCCTGAATTAGAACAGCACTTTTAAGTGCAAGATACCTGTCTAAGGAAAACAAAGTGAATTATGGACTTGAAGTCTCGGTGACTTAGAGGAATCACGACACGACGAAGGCAGCAGGAGGCTAACGAGTGGCAAAAATAAATCAAGGTAAAATATAAATAATTTACTATCTAAAATGAAATCTTAAGCCACATTGGACAAAAGACAATGATACTCGTTGACAGTCTAGGATCAGGCCGAGAAAAAGCCTCTATGAAAGAGGAACTATTCTCAGCCATCCACCCCATTCCTCCCCCCATTTCCCCCGAGAAAAAAAAAAGTTCGAGCACTGAATAAAACAGAATTGGGCGGATAACGCCACACCGATAAAAGCCAGAATAGGCCGATCCCCCACAACACGATGACAAGAACGACAGCAAACACACACGACAGGAAATCCCCCCCCCCCTACACCCCCGCACTATCCTTTTAGGCCCGGAGGCTTGAAAGGAAGGTAAACAGAAGGGGGACGCGTGAGCTTCGCACTCCAAATCCAAAATGAGAGAAAGAAGGGCTTTTCTCCCTTTTCACGGTCTCGGCATAGGACAATCACTTCATCCAGCAAAAGCTTGCGCTCTCGAACCTCCATGCATTAAAACCATTCCGAGCACTATTTTATGGAAAACCTACTGTATAATAATTGCGTGAATCAGAGACTGGGCCTGCCTCCGTCTCCGATGAAGACCCATGCCCAGAGGCGTAGGCAGGAAATCGGCAAGTGATGGGGGGGGGGGGGTTGAGGCCAGGTAGACACCCCAACCCTACGCCTAGCTCCACTACCCGGAATTTACCTTTTAAAAGAAATCATGGTCTGGCATCTTGAGTCTGTGGACGGACTTTCCTCGAAGGGGCATAGCTAAAATTGGAATTCCCAAGGAAGGCTGAAGTATGTCTGTCAGTGTCACTGACCAGGAAGCCCAGGGGGGGTGGAGTTCTAACCCCCTAACCCCCCCCCCCCCCCCTTCCCTATGCCACAACGATTCTAAGGCCATCTTGTCGGAAATTCTCTGTATTCCATGTCAGTCATCTCCTCACGTGGAGAGCGAGACCTCAGCGCTTCAAAGAATTCCTTCACTTTTCATATCTCCATTTGCGAAAAAACAGGAAGTATCGCTTCCCCTTTTGTTTTTTCAAGGAAGTGCCTCATAGTAGCGACCCTCGGATCGAATGTCCTCGATCTCATCTCACCGCTAAACATTCCAGCCTGCATACCGAATTCGAGGACGGATGAGATCCCTGGCATCGACTCTCCTTGAAAACGGGGAAGCGGTATCCACTATCACCTCACGAGTGACATCTGTATTTATTACGCGAAGCTCAGGAACGGACGAGAATCGAGTCTTGCACCTTTTCCTCGTGTTTTTCAGCACGTTCACCTCATGAAAATGGTTGGTACAAGAAGAGTCGGAGCAAGGAATAGTGTTTTCCTGACTTATCCCTCATCAAGCTACACTGATTTCAAACTCTCCAGGGAGTCAGCCGCTTTTGAATTTCATGTCATGCCCCATCCAAACGGTGAAACATGAAAATAAGAGAGGTAACTCAAGATCCGATGGAGACAAATCCTATAAATCACTATATTCTTATTTTTAGTTCCCAGCTGAGACATTCGTGGCATCCTTGAGGCTCATCCTATAAAGACTAATCGAGTTCCGTCCCATACGAAACAGTTTTGAACACTCGGGCGATTGGGTCAGGTTCGGAAATATCAACCCAAGCAGGCCTCCAATAGACACGAACTCACATGGAAAAAATTCGGCTTTTATTATATAATTTTTTCTTCAAGTCTAGGAGATGGCATCACCACATTAATTTTAAAAAAAAGATTTTCTGAGTAAAAAGAGTGAGGAAATATGAAGAAATAAGAAGTGCGAGGTGACGAGAAACCCTCTTGATTATATGGCACCTTTCCAACTCATCATTGCCCCTACGAGTCCTCATCAGGAAGAGAGATCGCCCACGATTCACCCAGGCAGAAAACCTCATCAGGCTACAGTTTCCTGATTGAGTTCGTTAATCCCCCCCTTGGGTAGTAGAGAAATGAGGAAGCATTAATTCCTCAGGATCATTTTTATCAAATGATCCACGGGAAACGCCCAGAAACGAATTTAATCCAAATGCAATTAGCAGCACTCTTCATTCCATCTGGAAACCAGACAAATTCGAATAAGGTTGGTGCTGGACCTCATGCAAGCAAACTTTAATCGGGAATTTCCCTCCAATATGTATTGTGGATACATACATAACCGAGACTCGAGACTTTAATGCAAAAAAATCCGCGACTAAACGAGATATAAATTTCTGAGGAAGTAGGTGAACTCCTGACATCACTGGGAAACGCAAGGATGCTCCATGGTGACGAGAAGGGCCTGCCCGACTGCCCCCGCAAACGTGAGGATGTCCTCTTGGGGGATCCGACCTATCTCCCCGAGCCTGGCGAGGAGCTCCCGCCGTCTGTCGTAGTGCTCGCCGAGGACGCAGGCCACGAACGCCACCGACCCCGCCAGCAGCATGTAATCGCACTCTACCGGCAGGAATGCCTCACTGCTCATCAGATAGGGGGCGAAAACGGTGACGAGGGGGCTCGTACGAGATATACTTATTAAAATGTTGCTTCCTACTTGTTGCACCGGTGCAGCACCAGAGTTTTTATTTATTCATTTATTTTATTTGTTTACTGTCGCATTACACTTGGAGGAGGTGCAGATCCAGAGCAACTGTACCGTATTTCTCCATTAACCCATACGCTGACTTTTTTTCCACCCTAACAGTTGCTGTGAATGATCATTTAATTTGGGAAAATTGTCAACGATGCGCACTCACGCAAACAATCACATCCAGTGGTCATCCGGGGAATTCCTTTAGTGTGAATGCACTTGATTCTACTCATACATGCACGTAACTTTGTCTGGCAGACGGGCCGGACAGGCAAGGCCCAGTATATCTAGCCCGTCTCTCAGATTGGTGAGTCAGCGGATGGATTAAAACTGTGTGGACGCCCCAAGGGTACGTAATCTATGGACTCCTTTCACCTTTCATCCTCTTTGGAGTTGGTGTAAGTTCTGCTCCATCATCCCAGTCACATCCCATCCAAACCTGATCTTGTCGGAGTTATGTGCCAATTTCTCATTTTGTCACTTGGAGAGTTCCACTCGAAAAAATAACGACATCTGGGAGTGGGGCAAGGAGACAAAAACGAAGAAAAAAAAAGGAGTGAAAATCCTGGCCAGTGCCAAGGTCCAGTGCTACAATCTCTTTCCTGCTAGATAAAAACAGCACGAGTGCTACGAGTACCACTCTTATATTCGCTTGACACACAACCACACAACCACACAGCTACACTCTCTCTGCATTGCCATGCCCATGTGTTTGAACTTACGCTGCACCAGTGCATCAAGTGTCAAACATGTCATACAGGATATCCCAATTAAGTAAAAGTAAAGTAAATTTTTTCCAGGGCTGTCACGATGACCGTTTTGAAAAAATCGATGCATTGACTAGAACTATCGATGGTACATGGATGCATCGGGGAAATTATTTTCTGTCTCTGAAAACCGTGGAGAAGGAGAGAGAGAGGGGGGGGGGGGGGTTGACCGAACGCGAGGAGTGCTGTCGAGCTGGAGGGAAGGTTGGAACCATCCCGATGGCTTTATCAGCCATCGATGCCTCCAACAATCGACAGCGACATCGACACATGGATGCATTGCGACAGCCTTGGTTTCTCTAGCTTACCGAGTTGTCTCGCGAGAAGGGGCCAATGAACTAAATTGCAGTCTAACACTTGCCTGTCTTCGTCGGTGTAGGTCCTGTTCGCGACGACGAAGAAGAGAGTCTCGTAAACGAGATTGTGCTGAAGATAAACGTAATCCAATAAACTGTAGGCGAGGGAAGTGACTCGTTCGCGCCGAGTCAACAGTCCTTCCAAACTCAAGCATGCCAGTATCGTCTCCAAGCAATCGCACGGAAGGCCCGGCATCCCCACCTAATTTGACACACTATTGACCTCACCTCACGCAAAAACGAGGACCTATCCCCGAAGCACCGACCTTGAATTTGAGCGTGTCGAGGATCCGAATCTCGGAATTCATGATGGCCGTCGGCGCATAGTTAAGATCGTAGGACCGAAGGAAAGTCTGCAACTCCGCGATGCTCGTCATCTGAGGAACACGAACATGCACTGAGACGGTTTTAATTTGACATTTGAGGTGGACGCGCATCCGCTTACCTGAGAGGTATCCGTGAACTTGGAGGCGATTTGGACGCAAGAGGCGAGGCGAAGAGGATGCTGCTTCAAGATCCTCTCGCACACCTTTGTGAATTCTTCCGGATCCCCACTCAGGTTCTCGTTTGCATAATCGATCAGCCAATACAGGTGATGCTTCATGAAGCTGGAAAGCCAGAGAAGCCACAGGATTATGCACGGGTAGAACTTACGCGAGGGGGAAATAAGTAGAGGTCTTCTCACGCTTCGAAGAGATGAAGAGCATGGAATCGAACCCTGGGGGGTTGATTGAGAGTGGAGCAAAGCACCTGAACCATGGTGACCAGCCGTGGGTTCGTGAATCGTCCCAGGGCATCCCGATCGTTCAGTTTCTTTCGATTCAGCAAGATCAGGACGTCCATGTATTCGTCCAGGGTATCGCCTGCAAGATTCATATACCTGTAGACCTGTGATACCCTATAGTCTTTACAGAGGGGAGAAACCGCGATAATTTAGTACCTGAGATGGAGACGTCTGCTCCTGGGTCCTGATTTGCCATCCCGCTCTAGCCTCCGAGTTCGCAATCTGAAGAGCAGAGGAAGTATTTTATTTAACGGCAAATATAGGAAAGGCATACTAAATATCTCCTTCCTTGGCAGTCCTTAGCTCCTTCCATTTCGAGGAGACAGTACCAGCATTACTGCATATCGCATCCGCGCGCCCCCGTCCAACCGGGAAGGGCTCAAGGTCTCGAGGCCCTTCAGCAGAGGAAGGGAGGCAAGATATCGTTTCCGTTACTTCTTCGGAGATGGGCATTCGGTCATGGCCGCTGCACGCAGTCCCACAACTCTCCTTGCCGCTGTTTTCCTTTCCATCTTCTGCAGCGGTCGGGGGCTTCCTTCGCTTTGCAACGAACCGGTATGCGACTGCAACGACGCTTCCTACCCGATCCAAATTCGCTGCACTTGCAGTCTTCAGCATCTAGTGAGTTACAGACGCTTTCCTGAATCCAGATTCTTTTTCAACCTTTCTGAAAATACGGGTGCATGCTGGAAGTTTAGAGTTTCCGACTTCTATCAAATTAAAAATAAATTATAAGTTATCAAAACCTCATAATTAAAAAAAATAGGTTCTGATAACTGATCGATGGGCACTTCCGATATACCAAACTTCAAACTGTAGCTGCTTCGAAACTTTCAGGCAATATTCAAGTGCTCTCTGCGATTGAAAAAAGGTTTTCTCTTGAAGTCTCTTAATTTCTGGTCCGGTTCTTTCCACGACGGAGGAGTCCTTGAATGGGCTTGTCCCGGCACTGACCTTTGCTCAGAAGGACATGTCTCAGTTTGATTTCTTTTTCCGATCGTAAACTTTCCATCTAAGTTTTTTTTCGTGAAAGATAATCCCTGAAGGATATATTACGTACGGATAATTCCTCCTAATATACAGCAATCGGCTGTGATTAGTGGCGCATTCAGGATTTTCATTCGCTGTCGTAATTTCGTCCAGGGGTTTCGATCTCCTACCAAACCGATCGATGAATGAATGGAGATGAAAAATGGTAGATGTAAATAATCCACGAGAAGCGTCAATTTCCGCGTTTGTTACACGGGGAAGTTCCATTTCGGGAATGGAATGAAACTTTCCTTCTGGAGTTTTGTTTTCCGAGGAATTCTCGGGATTTTCGAGAAATAATTGGAGAAGCATCAACTTTCCTCCGGGGGATATTTATTTGGAGGGGAAATGCCTTCTCATTAAGAAAAATCCGCCCTGGGATAATCCCTTTAAGGTAATAAATCCTCTCCGAGGAATCTTCATTCGTGAAAGAGTCCAAAAATCTCATCATTTGCGTGTTTTCATTCTCCTATCTCATCGCTCGAACCGCCCGAGCCGCTACAGGATCTGAGTTTTCATTTCCGCCGAAGCTCTTGCTTTCCGCTATATCTGGCCGTATTGCTATTTTAAACGTGGCTCAAGCTACTTCCGCGGAATCGAAGGATCTATTCCAAGTACCAACTACTCTCAAGTATCACGAAGCAGTTAATGAGAATTAGACTGAACCGCTCAGGTAGCAGCAATTCAGCATACTAAATCGTGACCTCGAGCTAAATCAACGATCTAGGGGAACTACACAATTAAATAAACACCTTCGTGCAATCAAGAATCTAAGCTTTCACCTGCTTTCTGTTTCCAGCCTTAAAGTTAGCAGACTCGCACAGGAATAAATCTTGGTTACGCGGAGCAAGACTTTTGACGGCAGGATCCGTTCCGGTTTCTCTTTTGAATCTTCGAGCGAGTCTCGGAGCATCGAAGCTCACGCTCATGAAGAAGCAAAATCCCCACTTTAGGCACTGGTGAGGGCTGAAACACGAGGTGTCCTAAAACTATTGTAATTCAATCCTAAGCGTCAGGAGTTATTCCAAATTTATCAAGAGATAAATTAGGGCACGCGCATGCCCTAAACTTGAAAAGCAATGTCTTCCAAATGGCTTCCATCTCGCAGTGGCAGCAGTCGCATGAACTGCAGCTCCATTACCTTTCTATGAGGGGCCTACGGTTCTAACAGGACGACACAACGAGCTATGCAGCCCAGGATACAAGGATAATGTTGCGTATCATAATGCTAGGGCAAATAATTTTCAGCTTGGCGACTTCACTTCGAGGTCCCCAGACTTGTCGGCACCAGGCTATTTCTTCTGTAGATCCCAGTCAAAAAATGTTAATCGGGTCATCGATGGCTTTTCGTCGACGTCGATAAGCCTTAGTTGGGCCATCACTGGCATACGGTTGGTTTAAGCCAGCTTATGATCGGGCATGTCCTGTTGGCCTTTCATCGGGGCAGCAACATCGGGCTCATTGTTGGGAAACTGCACAAGCCTCAGCCATAAGCTGACTTTTCACAACGGTGAAAAGATATAGGGAAAACACCACATAAACTGCATCTCCAGCATTATACATCCTTTGGGCCTACTGCTCCTTCATCTGGGAGAGATAAAGGAGCTGTACCTTACCAGAGCACCTTACACAGGTACACTCCGATCGCCAAGAGTTGAGAATATCCCAAGCAACATCCCTCCCGATGCTAAGGCATCCAGGAGCGAAATCGCGCGGGAATGCAAGGGTATCTGTCCTCTCGCAGGAGACCAGGCACGCCGATCACGTAATGAGACTGTTCAAAGGTTACATGTAGCGAAAAAAGCTCGCAAAGGTCGTATGAAGCGAGCAAAGAGAACTACGATCGCAATTGTTGCAAAATTCAAGATAAAGGAACATTAGCCGCATTCGAACTTAAATACTCAATATTCAACGTAAAATATTGCGGTCCTCCCAAGCGGGAATCATAAAAAAGCACATGATTAAGACTAACTACACCCTAGTCTAGGGGCAGGCAACCTTTCACTAATTGCGGGCCAGATTAGCACTCGGCCCTATGGCGGGTCTGAGCGCTGAGATCGTGGTGCTGATCTGTCCAGAGGAGGAAGAATGAATTTTTGAAAATAATGAATTACATATAAAATAAATCTATTTTCTAGGCGCACTTGGCGGGCCGGACGAAATCCCTTCACGGCAGGATCCGGTCAGCGAGCCGAAGGTTGCCGACCCCTTCCCTAGATTGCCAGTAGTGATGAAATAAATTAAAAGGTGAACCACGAAGGGGGAAGATGCAGAGGAAAGCAATGGGAAACGGGCAGGGACGGGTACTTCGTATCTGCTTGATGACGTCATGGCTCCAAAGCCCAGACTCCGCCCCTAGACTGTCTATGCGAGAGAAAGATTTGAGGCGCCTATTTCGACCTTCCTTATACTTCGACTGTTCCTTGGGAATCATGGTACAGGACCCAGTAAAAAGCAAAATGCTTAAAAACACTTTACATTTAACGGTTGACTCAGTCTGCATGCCAAGTCATTTCACTTTGTTTATTTATAATTAAAAAAATTAAGCACTTCCAATTGCATTTCCCGGAGTTCAGGAGCGTAACGAGGCTTCAGCTCCCAAGTTTGGTTCAAGACAAGAGGGGTCGAAGAGCAAAGGGGGGTAAAATCTTGCGCATGTACCTCGTAATGACGTCAGCGAGCGGTTCCTCTATAGAAGCGGTCGCTTTGGCTTGAACGACTCACTACCTCGCAGGTTAAGACAGGTCGCATGTACTCTTTCTCTCATCTCTCACAGTCAATACCATCTACTCGCGTTTGTCAGAGCCACCCATGACAGCATTGTATATACGAGGTACATTGCAGATCTGGTCGTTTGTTTCGATTTCCTTTCTTTCATCCAATATCTCAGTACCATTTATTCGTAATGAAGGGGAGCGGCAAGGTTTGCAGTGTCGCATCCTGTAGTACTACTTATAGAAATCGGCAGGCAGAAAATATTTCCTGCCATGAATTACCAAATTGTCTTGACAGAAAAAATGAATGGCTTCAAGCGTTGGGAAGAAAATCTATCCCCAGCTATGCTTTCGTGTGATCGCATCATTTCTCCTTAGATTCCTATCATGATGGAAATGCTATAAGGCGCATGAAAAAAGATGCCGTTCCAGCACAGAATCTGGCCCTAGAATCATCGCCATCTCCCACATTCACGTTAGACGCACACTCTGCGGTCCGTTTCAACAAATGGATGACAGGCAGGTCTCCTCATCTCTTGAGAATGACATAAAATTACCGCACCGGAAGACCGTGAATGCTCATTGTTTGGAGGTAGAATCCTTCGACAGAAGTTGAAGAGAGCAATGGAGCGTTGGAGGCTGAGAAAAATTATTTTCACTCTGATGATGCAATAAAAGAAGAAAGTCCTCAAAGACCTAAGAAGAATGTGCCGCTATGATTTAAAAATCCGTCCTCAAATGAATATTCACAAATTGTAAAATAAAGTATCAAACAAAAATACCCGCATATTCATCCGTTAGCTATTAGAACCTTCATACGTCCCAGAACTCTCTTGAGACAAAGACATCTGAACAGTGAAAATACAGTGAGGGTGAGTGAAATGGGATCGTTAGGAGCGAAAAGAGAAAAAGTTGCAAATAACGTTGACTCGAAAGGGGATTTTTATGACAGCTATGATCCAATGCGAGACGACTGGACATTGAATTCGTACAGCCCATCCCTAAGAAAGAGCTTTTTCCGGCGTAGAGGGCTTTCATATGTTTCAGATGTCACTATATAATTGTCTTACACGGTTTCCCATGCCACGGGTTCTCTTAGCCACCCTGTCAACTTACATGGTATGCCCTTCATTTCTAGCCGTTCCACCCCCAAAACGCGCCTCTGCGCAGATCTGAGAGGGGTCTCTCCGATCTCCCTTGCCCCCAACTCGTCAAAATGCATCCGCCACCGCCCCCCCCCCCCTCGACGAGGAGAAGTAAGGGAAATTCTGACCCCTCCACCGTTCTGTTTAGCCGGCGAAATCCTGGCTACGCCACTGCCTGAGGTTCAATCAATTCAATTGAATAATCTGACTTCTCCTTGAAATACTCTTGCATATTAAAATCCCCGCCTTTCCAGAATTTTCAAGTCAGGATTAACCCTGTTCCGGAGGGCGATAAGTTTAAAATGCTAAATAGTGCTTCCTGTGCTCATAGGAATTGAAATTGTATTACAGGATTTGGCGATAGGGCATTCGGCTGGAGAGCGACTACAGGAATACCCATCGATATTAAGAGTCGAACAGTGCCGGAATGTCACCGTTTACTCTGGAGCCTTTCGCAGTCAAGATCACGATGGCCTCTCTTTTTCCAATCAGACGTCAGGATTGGAGGCGAAGTTCGAGGATATCAAAACTCTACAGCTTGAATCGGAAGCGTTCGCTCTCAACGATCATGGCTTCCAGGCAGAGCTGGTTTTCGACAGGATTGGATTCCTCGCTCTGCCCGAGGATGGCAGCCGCGTTTTTAGCGGGCCTATCAAATACNCCTCGCTCTGCCCGAGGATGGCAGCCGCGTTTTTAGCGGGCCTATCAAATACCTCGCCATCAGAAACACCAAAGTGGAAAACCTGGGAACCTCATCGATCGACCTGAAAGGCGTCAAAGGTGTCAATCGCACTCTTCCTAGCGTCGAGTTGGACAAGGTCAACTTCCAGTCCATGTCCAAAACGGGCCTAATTCTAAACGAAAGCTACCAGTTAACTGTCTCCAATTGTGTTTTCCGAGGAACGACGTTCAAGGGCTTGCCAGTATTCAGGATTAATGCTGAGATGGTGAAATTCACGGGAAACAAATTCTTCGACCTGCCAACTGGATGGATTGAAGTAAAATGCGAAGATTTCGTCTTTAATTTCAACGAAATCACTGCGGTGATCAAGGAACGAAGTCTGAACATCACGGCCCGCAGAATTCACATAGAAGACAACACGATTCAAAAACTCGGACCAAACGCTCTTGCGTCCATACCAGCACAAGATACAATCGGTGCTGCAGACAGTCCTCAACTGACATTTATTGGGAATACCATCTTCATGTTGGGCACTAAATCACTCCCGAACGTCTACAAGGTAGATGCTTCTAAAATAACCGCAAGCGGGAATACCCTGGTCTGTGACTGTACAGATCTAGATTGGCTACTGTACCTGATGACAAATGTGAAGTTTCGTAGCGCTGCGGATGCCTATGCGGCCCTGATGAACGATACCAGGTGCTTGGAATACGAATGCCCGGTTCACTTCCAAACGCTCGTAAACGCCTACAGAAACGAGAAATGTGAGGTGGCACTGGAGACGGCGTGTTCGGCACACAATGAGAACCTACCGCTGACTGTAAATGCGACCCAGCCCGCATGCGCAGATGAGGATTCCCACGCATGCGCAAATGCCACGATTCTAAGTCAGGCCTCAGCTGCTACGCCTCGAGTCAGTGGGGCGTCTTCGAAGCTCGTGCTCCTGTCTCGTTCCGGCACTTTCCTGTACTTCCTCTTCTTGATCGCACGTTTCCAGTTGCTTGAATAGAAATAGGCTGATCGGAAACAACGAGATTGCAATAAACGATAACCTGAACTTGAATGTATAACTGCTGAGTTTCTTTCTGAACATTCCGTATCTGTTCTCCTTGCGTGTCATGCATACCTCACGCGGACTCGACAGGCTTTGAGGTTGAGGCATCCGAATAGTGGGTTTGCATATAGACTTTGCCTCCCATGTAATTAAAGTATACTGTAAGCAGCAAAGGTCCTTGGGATTCAAAGGCAACGATGCCCGAGAGCCCATCAAGCCGTGGCTGAGGGAAGGAACGGTAGGTTTCATTTGCATTCAGCAAAATTACCAGGTCTCTCGTCTGTCTCCATTGCTTCTCATCCTTTTCGCATCCTGTGAGCAGTGACGAAGCAGGATTGCCTGAACATGCAATTCACATAGGACGCTGTTATGGAGGTTCCGTACGACAAAAACTCCTTTAGTCGATGATTTCCATTCATATTGCCATGGTTTTGCAGTTAATTTTAGTCGTAAAGCCTCTCCCGAGAACTGAATCAAAATTCCAGCACGTGCACCATCAGTCCTGAAGGCTTGGAGGTAGCAGAAGTTCCAGAAAAACACCAATTAGACACAAAAATAGGTTTTCATATCAATTGTCAATGTTGAAATGCAGGAAAACTCATTGAGCGAGATCATTTTGTTTCAATCACAAGAGCGATGAAATCTTAAGAAATAAGAGACATCCGACCGTGGCAATCGATCCGGAAGTTCAAGGAATGGTCCCATTCCGAGCGATCCGGTTTTGCTTTGCACTCATATCTGCACAATATGTACGGAGGCCGTCGGTCTAAGGCAATCCACACGTGTGAACCCATCTGCTGTAAACTACTGCGTCTATACCATATATTTAAAGGATGAAGTCCCAGAATTACGACATGATCTTTATGGAAGGTTTTCTCCACATTCTGCACGAACAGGTTTAGACTCTGGAGGGGCCAGCAGCTTTGTTTCTATTCTTGGGAGCGAGAAATTAGGTTCCAGAAATTAAATATTACAACTGCGACACCTGAACACGAAGAGTTACGAGTCAAATATAATTTTTTTCGGCCATCCGTGTGGACAGGTGTATGGTACCAGTTCCTCTCGATCGAAGAAACTAACATCCTTTGTAAACTTTCGAAATGTGTTAAGAGTTTTACCAGTACTTCGGGTTGAAAAGAGTGAGTGCCTCGGGACTCTTTAGTCGGTGAGAAGCTTCTCTTTCGGTTCCATTCAGAACGATGGGTTTCACCGCTCTTAGATCCCCGTTTTGCCTTCGAGAGCTGCTTCGTGTACTTTGTTAGTCCGGTTCAGGCGAAGCCGAAGAGTGACACGATTTCAACTGTCGGAGGGACCGACGATTGGACTTCCGGGATTGTCAATGGACTTCGTATCCTCACATTTCCCAATGGAGCCTGAGTTTCGCCAGAGCTGCTGTTGCGCAAACCATTGTCTCAAATGTTGCCTTATTAAGAACTCATTCTGATCATTCATCAAAAATATTCTCCCCTCTGTCGAATCGAATGCCTTATATTAAAAAAGGAACACTTGACCAAGGAATACAGAAATGGCAAGCCAATTCGAATAGGAACATGACTAGAAATTGGCAACATCTCACGATGAAATGTGAAGTCACAAAAATGGCTTTAAAAGATCCGGTTTTTACGTCGTTCGCCTTTCCATTATCAACGACACATTCAGTCGACGAAATCGGCCTCTTGGCATGCATTGAAAAGGAACAGAGAGAAGTCCTCATCCTCAAGGTCGTCACAATATCGACAAATCATGCGTACACTTATTAAGAAATATCGATAAAAAAGGATCCAGAGAAACGACAGTGCTTCCGTGGCATTCGTCACAGCAAAAGGGTTCACAAATGTTCTGAAGTCAGGTCACGAAGTGAAAGATAGGGCGCAGACGCCAACGAAACGAAACCTTGATGTTAGGGAACACCAGGATGGAGGATAGGACACAAATAACCACTGGTGGGATCGTGAGATGTTAATCGATGCGAAATGGTACAGAAATCGATCCGTAGACTCGGGTCCATCCGGCAGCACTCTTGCATGATCTCGTAGATGTAATCCGGCGCGACGTCCGGCCTCGGCAACAAGGTTCCGTTCAGGATCAGCTGCATCACCTGCATAGACCACATTTCCTTGGGTATCACGATTTTGTTCAGTAGTTGAAATGGTCAATGCCTACTGT